GGAGTTTTGTTGTATGGTCTTGGTTGAGACAAATGTCCCTCTCGTATTCTCTTTGATAGACACTCGACGCCTTTCCGCAATTAAACGTTTCATTAAAAAAGGGGCCATACATTTGTAGTGACTCACATTTACCACGAGAACACGACTGGTTTAATAAAAACAATTATTATTATAACCAACTGTACCAGTGTTTGTTTTAACGTGCTTTTGTTTGACTGTGCTAATGACAGCTATTTTGTGCCTCCATTCTTATACTTACACTTCGATTGTAACTTCGCGCGAATTCGGTTACCTTCTGTTACCAAGGTTGTATCCTGGCACGATCTCGGTATCCTTTCGATGCCACGAGATCGCCAGCTAATAAACCTCGACTTGGTCCATTAATTGCCTTCTGATATTTGGCTTCTCGGGGATTTTACGGATCTATTTGGTTACGTCCAACCCTCGCCTTCTGATTTATTTGGCACGTGTTTCTTGGTAGCGGTGTTCACAGTTAATCTCAACTCGACGCCACGCTACAATTGGTGGTCCCAAAGTTTGGAACACGCCTCAAACTCGGGTCAAATCTTCCAAAGAAGCCAATTCGGTGAGTCCATGATTTATCTATCCACGTCTGTCGTATATTTTCATATTTTTTAATATATAATATACTCGACATGACGGATAACGATAAGAATAGTATTAATATAATAGACTCACATGTATGTGTACCGAATCCTTGTTACTTTTTATTCGCGTGACGATGAATTCCACGCTTTATTCGAGAAATTTTCCCTTATTAACTATTCTCCTCGCTGACCCGGCTGCTTGGTACGGAATGCATTCGCATACGCATTAACGTCTACCTCCCAGCATCAAATGGTTAAGTTGAACGGTTTCCCTGCCAACTTAAAAGTGCTCTACGAGCACACGAGAACGACAACTGGTACGAAACCTTATCGCTCGTCCCCTTAGGTATTTAAACGAGCTTGAAGGCAGATATACGATGTTCCGCCGCTGAACTGGTATACGGCACGACATTGCGTCTGCCCGGAGAATTCTTCACACCACGGAGCAGACCTGATTTCGGTAAATCAAACTACGTCCATCGACTGTCTGCATTTATGCGAACGCTGTCTCCGGTGTCAACTCGAATACAACATCGACAGGTCGCTCTATCTCGAGAGTTATCTACCTGTTCACATGTTTTCATACGAGTAGATTCGGTACGCAAACCTTGGCAACAACCTTACGAAGCCCCTTTTCACGTGATCGCTCGTCACGAAAAGACCTTCAAGGTTCACCGATATGGGCGCGTCGAGATCGTCAGCATTGATCGTCTCAAACCAGCACACGTCGATGACAGTGCCCTATCTGACAACCTGAGATTCAATGCTAGACCTAGCAAACCTACCAGCGGGATCCTCAAGTCATCTTCAGGTCCCACGCTAGATACATCTGAGACCTCATTCTCACGTCCCAGTCAACAGCACGCGTCATCTGCACTGTCTACGGACGAGACGACAGTCTCACGTCCAGATCAGCAGACCACGCCGCCCTTGACTTCGGATGAGATTGCAGGCTCACGCGACGCGAACGAGGCTGCCGTCTCACGTTCCGGTCGCCGAGTACGGTTACCCCTACGCTTCCGCGAATAGTCGCACAGTCAACAATCGATACGGTGTAGGATTATTCCTATACTACACGCATGCTACACTCTTCCTTTTTTTATTTTCTTTTTGTTTCCTGAGCCCGCGCCTTCGACTATCTCCGTTTGGTTCCGTCGACTTCAGTCAACTTTGGCGAAAGCTGGCCTGATCACCCATGCTCTTGTCAACGCACTCAGTCGATATATTGGTTTCGAATGCTTGGCACACGCTTGGTCTCGAACTTGGTCGTTACGGTCGCTTCTGGTCTTTTGGCTCAACGTGGTTTCGTCCTACGTCTGCAGCGTTTCTGGTGCGCATCCCTACGAACGCCCTCTTCAGATTCTGGATACAAACCACTCTGGTGTAGCATGCCAACTCAAGCAACAAATACAGCACATCGCTCCTGGTACCGTTCTCCGAAAACGAACTTCGTTGGCAACTCGACGATCAACGATCGTTTTCCTGTTCGCCAATCTTTCCGTCCTACAATCGCTCGTCAGCCGATCAGTCCCACGATTTAAACCGCTATTTATCGAAAGTGTAAACCCTTTCTAGCGGGGGGCTCCTGTAGTGACTCACATTTACCACGAGAACACGACTGGTTTAATAAAAACAATTATTATTATAACCAACTGTACCAGTGTTTGTTTTAACGTGCTTTTGTTTGACTGTGCTAATGACAGCTATTTTGTGCCTCCATTCTTATACTTACACTTCGATTGTAACTTCGCGCGAATTCGGTTACCTTCTGTTACCAAGGTTGTATCCTGGCACGATCTCGGTATCCTTTCGATGCCACGAGATCGCCAGCTAATAAACCTCGACTTGGTCCATTAATTGCCTTCTGATATTTGGCTTCTCGGGGATTTTACGGATCTATTTGGTTACGTCCAACCCTCGCCTTCTGATTTATTTGGCACGTGTTTCTTGGTAGCGGTGTTCACAGTTAATCTCAACTCGACGCCACGCTACACATTAAACACGATGGTCGCATGCTTGTCACGTTCGAAGGGCGAGCAAGGAGGTCTAGAAAGACATTTCTTGATCACCGTGATTTCTGTGTTATCCATATTATTCGACCAGCATTCATCTTAGATATGAACTGTGAGCATATAAAGAAGTTGAAAGACGAACGATGGTTTCTATGTATATCATATACACTTATATATCTATTATATACACTTTCCGAAATAAGATTTTCGTTTTATCCTTTTATTCATGTAACGTTGAATATCAAAGAAGTGATGGACGATCCAAAAGAAATAAATGAGGTGCATAGTAAGACCTTCACGTTTCTACTCACTTGGTGTAGTAAGTATAGGAGTGTAAACGACAGTTTCAAACCACATAAAATTTAAGACATTGAACTCAGTCTCTATGATGTAGTTGATCTTACCAAGAAATCGTAACTTTTTGGCAGGAAGAAGATGAGATGTTGACCATATTTACTGAACACGATGGCCCAGACACTTTTATCTTCAGAGCAGATATGGCCTGTTGCTTGGAGCAAGTACTTTTCCATGGCAGTGGTAAATCACACACTGTCTCACATTTTAAATAAAGGTCTAGGTTAGACGTGAATAACTACTCCTTGATTAACTTTCCTTTTGCCGTATCCGCACCTGTGTAGGAGGTTGTTCAAGCGGTATTTTTATTATTTAGCTAGCCAAACACTTGCTATATTTCATCATGGAATCACATCTTGAGGCTTGAATAATCTGTCACTTGGAAAATTCTAACTATTTGATAGGCAACAGAGATGAAGAAAAGGTAGTCATCACTCTACATTTTAACTGTACTAAAGCGCACGATAAGCCTCTATTGCATCCGGTATGACAGGTAAAATAACCTATAGAGCGCGAGCAATCGATATAAAGATAAAACAGATATTTTCGGGCATTGAACTTTATTGTTTGTCTTATACTTTGAAACTAGTATAAAATCATTCTGGTTATTTATTTTAACTTTCTATCCATTGGTTTGAGACTTTTTACGATCAACTCCTCAGTGATCACTGTTCTTTAATATATCTGCAACCTTTTCATGACAGTTTGCTTAGTGATTAGTAACGTTTTACATGCCGATCTAATATGCTTTAATTTCTTTCACTAGAAACAACTATGGTTTATCAATTGTTTATGTTTGCTTTTTTCTACATCTCGCCTTTCTTTGATATTTCATTCCGACATCTTTCTATAAGTATCATTTAGAGACGGTTAGCATAAATGTATTAGATGATTTAGATGTCTTGCAGTTAACGCTAAGCTACAGGAGAATAAGAAGCGATTCAACAATGTCGTAAAAAAATCTCATTACTCCAAGCCGCCTTAATGCGAACATATTGCAAGAACATCACCATCACGTTACTTAAGTCAGTCCTCGAAAGACTGAAAATCAAAGAGAAAACAGCCAGATATTCTTTCACTTATTATTATTAAGGGTTCTCCACACTTAGAATGCCTCTCAGCAGAGGTGACCATATCCCATTCATTAGGTAGCCTTAGGAGTTGACTAGCTACGTCTGATACATGTCTCGCAATTTACCACAGTTATCTTTACCGCATATTGGTAACTACTTTATATCACTTCAATAATTATTTCCGTTTTCTCTCTTATTCTTTCAATTCCGACTTCCTACTCATTACCAATCAAATAACTAATTCGTAAAAGAGTCGTCTTCTCTCGGTACTCCAATTATCACTATTATCTTCAAGTTAAAACTAACTAACATCCTGCCCATTAATTTGGTGGCCGCTGGTGTCCGGAAACCCCATTGTGTTATGAAAAACGCACTCACCCAACTTCAAAATATGCGAATCAATAAATAACTAATACAATGACCAGAATTACTTCTGTCGAGTAACTGGACTACCATTCATTAGACATTAAGGAATACCCGGAACTGCATCGCGGATACAAGAAGCGAGAAAAAAGAAACTAACAGCTTTGTTGAAGCTCGTGATTTAGATATTGGATAATGGATTTATAAATCACGCGTTTTTGATGTTGTCTAATATGTGAAACAGCTCTATTGTTTTCAACCAAGTTAAAGTGTCATAACACAGCAGTGAAGAAATCAAATAGTCCATAAATGGTTTGTAATCATGTTAAGAGTTGTCAGATTTTGCACTCCATCTTTGTAGTTCACTTCATCGATACTGTCACACTTGTATCCTACCTAACACATGAAATGCGTCAGAATCTTGTACTCATATTATATGGCAGTAGGCGAGTAAACCATCGTGGCTCACGATGTTATTAATTCAGGGGTTTAAGAACAAATATCCTTTTTAATCGCTTTGTTAGAGTGAGCTACTCATACATGCGACCTTGCATGAGACGCTTAGAGCAATACAAAATCATGACGACGTAATGGAGTTTGGATCTGGCCTAGACAAGGTTTTGAAACAAGAAGTCGCAGTCATTTATGGAAACAAAGTCAGAGAATTACATGCACTTGAGCACGATCAGTTGTATTTATTGCTTACACAATCATATTATTAAGTTTTTCAAGGAATGTAACAGAAGCTGACTCGTTCAAAAGTTTAGCCAGTCTTTTGGATTTACTAGGTGAACGTTCGGCAAAAGTAAACACATTCTTAACTCATTTTAAAAGGCTCAAATGTTACCTGGACCTGTGACGTCCTATACGAAGTTCAGGGATTCGAACCAGACAATTTTTTTATTATCTGATATTCCTTCAAAAAAGTGCGTAAAATTTACCATCAATTTTCGTTTAGAATTTTAGGTTTCTTAAAAACAGGTAGGAAGCGTCTTTTTGTGCATGACAGAAGAGGCGTTTGTGTCGAATGCGTGCCTTTATGTGTTTTGGATTTCTACGTACATGAAGCACATCAGAGGAAAGGTTGTGGAAAAAAGTTATTTGACTTTATGCTTAAAGTAAGTGTTTCAGCGATGAGTTGTCACATTCCGCTTATGGTGTTATCTTGTTTTGGTGCAATCATGTTGACTGTACCAGTCACCAAGTATTTCCTTGTTCAAATTTCGCTCCTTTTTCTGTATTAGTTCTTCGTACTGAGCTCAAAGTTCTCTTCATCAAAGCAAAGCGATCGTACAACGGTTTGAAAGATGGACTTTTGATCAAGAAGTGATGGATTGTTACCCAGTTTTTTTACATCATAGGGATATGTGACCCTATATAAATAAACACATCTATGTTCGATTCGATTTACAATAAGCTACCTATTCATATATGTATTCTTGCTTAACAATAATAGTGTTTTTTAAAGCTCGCTTATGAGCTTTGCTCGTAGTCCTACATGAGTATATTGGAAGCGAAGAACCAGCAATTTCCATTTTATATGTAACGTTTAAATACGTTAAATCATTCGGTAAAATTGCTAATCAACATCCATTGATATGAACATAATGTTTGATATGAATTCATATGGCTTTTTATTGTAATATGCAAGATTAGCATTGCTGGAATTAGAATAGATCGGTTTTACGGGTAGCCATCCAGTTTGGTTTTTGTAGTGTTGATTTGTAGTGAGGATTTAGAGCTCAGATAAATGCTTTTGGTGTTACTGAGATAGATTGTTCAACTTCGGAGCTTTCCCTTTCATTTTATTTCACGTCATCAGCGCTTTGTATAGAAGTAAGCTTATTATTCATAGTTAAATGTTTAGTGATTTCTTCCTGGTTGCTTCGTTTGTGATTCTTTATCCTAGTAGGTTTCGTTTTCTTCATTTCTACATATATTCTGTGTAACTGTCTTATTTGCTTAACATTTGATTGGCCTCTTTTGTAGTGATTGATAGATTGAGTCTCTTCATACATCTGTTAATTGATGACTGACCTGAATATTGTGTTTCCAGAACTTCCTTGATGTTATTTTAATTCTCTGAATTCAGAGTGTGATATTTTACAATGAGAGCTCGTGTCCATAGTTGTTTGTATGCTTGTGGAATCATTGTTAACATATTGTGTTTCACTGACAATTTCCGTTTGTTTATTTCTAAAAAAGCGGAACATCTACTTTATCTAAAGCGTTGTTTGTCACAGTCTATGAAATTCATTACTTAGTTGATATTGAATCTATCTCTCTTAGCTGTTATCTCTGAGCTGAATACAATGGAACAATGTGATTGTGTTGAGTTGTGAAATCAACCAACTAAAGCAGTCATTTTGAGTACCTTGTATGTAAGAAATAAAGATAAAAAATTGTGCTATTCAGAACTTAGTATACATCCCTCACATAAACAATATCTATCAAGGAAGACCAGAGACTAGTGTTAAAATTTAGTTAAGTGAGTATCCCGTCCTTTGGAATTATTAAAGCTTGTCTTTCACACTAGAACATCTCTTATTACGACAACCAGCCTTTGGTTCTAATCAATACGATGATGTACGGCATCATATTAGTCCATGTTTACCACTTAATCTAACTACACTGGTCTTTGGTATATTTCTATATGTGTAATGAAATTGCCTTACACACTTTGAAAACTGTTGAAGGGAATGTTTTCACCTTGATTCTCGAATATGTTTAACACTATGTACATAACTCTTCCTTACAAGTCCTTAAAAGTGTCCTGAAAAGCTATAAATAAAGTTTTCAAATATTTGGGATTATATACTTGTGGATTTTTGAGGAATTTTTAATCGTAAAAACCAAAAGAAACATGGATACCTTTTCTTCCTACATATATCTTGAAAACGGGCATTTCACTCCTTTGAGTCAACACAACTTTCCTGTCAGATGACTGCACATCACGAAATAACTCCATCGTTGCTTAGTTATCTATTCAGTGTTCCGCTTTGCCTATTGTCCGCTTTAGCTCTTATTCATAAGTTTACTAAATAATTAGCTTTGACTGTGAACGTAAAGTTCATCCGACACATGTACATCTATTGTGTTTTAAATCATTTTAAGTGCTGTAAAAATTGTTTCTTAAATGTAATCACCTTGTATAAAGATAAGAACTATGACTTATCTTTGCTCCGTAAACGTTTTGTTATATCCCGATTAGAATAATGAATGATAACTTTTGAGAACGTTTTATGGACTAATGTGATACATATATTTTCATTGTGTAATTTTTTAACTAATTAAACTATGCATGCGCATGTGTCTCTTATTATAAGCTTTATTTTGACCGATAGACTATTGTTATACTATTTATCATTCTTGAGTTCTGCTCAGTCTATTAATTACAGTCCTCCATATTCACAGCCACTTTTGGCTAGATCTTGTACAAATGTTGTTTTCTATTTAATGGTGCTATGTGGTCTGTTTGACTGGTGTATATAAACTCAGTCTGTTTGAAATAAATGATTCATATCACAGAGGCTGAGATTTGTGTTCTAGACTCAACAGGCAGGAAGGCTAGACAGAAAGAGGGACTGATAAGGAATATAGACTGCTCGTACTTGTTTTATGCGTCATTGGTCCGGTTGATAGGTCATTGTTCTCTAATTGGCGGTATCATTACGTTATATATATTAATAAGGCACAAGTCGACAAGCTATTATAGTAACATTGTTAGTATTTTAAAATTAGGTGGGGTTTACGACTCCGTGTTATTGACTACATTTATTTATGAAATCATTCATGTAAACAAATTTTAAATGTTTTCAGTATCACACTACTTAAGGTCATAGATATTCAGCTAATGTGAATTAAATTTTGTTACTTCATAAATAAATGTAGTCGGCGAGACTATAATTTCTGGACGAACCAATCAGGTCTAAGATAACAGGTCTCGGATTTTGGCGCGAAATTCACTCATCCATTTGGCTAAATAGCATCTTGGCTTTATAAATGATGTCAGTTCGTGATGAAAAACCTAATTGTAATTCCTAACCCAAACTGTCAACTGTAAGTTATAATTCTAATTCCTCACACTAATTTATAACCCTCATTTGATCCTAGTTATTAGGTAGACAGTTTCGAGGTCAGTTTAGCGTCACTTAAAGGTCGTCCATAAGTTGTAGTCTCACCGAATAACTTTAGAAAATTTATAAACACGCTTATCACTTACATATGTTTAATTACATGGATGTATAAATTAAAAACGTTTAATCTGTATACGATGTGATATTCTTATATTCTATAATCTCTCATGAATATCATGATCATTACTTTTCATTAACTTAAAAAAGTGTTATATCTTGTGACTTTTTACCCTATTAGTATATAACATAATGATACCGCCAATTAGAGAACAATGACCTATCAACCGGACCAATGACAAGTAAACCCGTACAAGAAGTCTATATTCCTTATCGGTCCCTCTTCTTGTCTAGCCTTCCTGCCTGTTGAGTCTAGAACACAAATCTCAGCCTCTGTGATATGAATCATTTATTTCAAACAGACTGAGTTTATATACACCAGTCAAACAGACCACAACGTGCCATAAAATAGGAAACAACATTTGTAGAAGATCTAGCCGAAAGTGGCTGTGAATGTGGGGGACTGTAATTAATAGACTGGGCATAGCTCAAAAATGGTAAATCGTATAATAACAGTCCACAGATCAAAATAAAGCTCATAATGACAGGAACAGGAATATGAATAGTTTAGTTACTTGACAGTTATACAATAAGAATATATGTAGTATCGTATTAGTCCATAAATAGATCCCAAAATTTATAATTCATTATTCTCATCGGGGTATAACAGTTAATAGGCTAATTAGTGGGTTTGGGCTTATCTTTAATTTCAATCTCTAGAGTAATATGTTACAACATTCTAAATCTATATTTGAGTTTATCTTAATCCCCATAACTTGTATAAAATATATTGTATCTGAGATAACGTTAACTACTCACATACTAATACTATACTTTGGAACATAAAGAAGTTAGTGATGGTACTAAAAGGATTGTATATCATTTTGCTTATAAACATGAATTATTAAATATGCTAAACATAAATTAAATGATAAGTGTTTTTTTAGCGAGTTAGTTTTCTACGGGATAGGGTTGCTAACCCCATGACCAACCTTCCTCCTTTATCCGGGCTCGGGACCGGCAGTAGCTCCCGGAGGGACTCCAGGCGGAGTTGAATGATAAGTGTACTTGATCAAATTACCTTATTCATAATCTTTTTTTATACACAGGAAAACTTGTAAAAAGAAAAAAACACAAGTAAAATTGTTGAACTGGGTTTAAACCTTATTGATTTATTGATCTGTTTAATATCATCTGATCTCAAGTGAACATTTCTCACAGGTACTTACTTACTTTTATGTCATTTATCTAAACACGTTAAATGAACAAACTAAATTACATTAAAGATAAACTAACACTAGTGACCATTTCAATATGAAGATTTATAATTGAAACATCTAGGTCATAGAATGTTACTTCAACAAAATCATTCTCTTGAAATATATACCTACTCTACCATCTCAGAATGTAGCCTCTATGTTTAAAAGTTTTAATAAAAGATTATTGTGATCTGTAATCGAGTGGTGGATAATCATGACTGATATTACTTTTATTAGTAGTTTGTGGTGGAGTACCTAACCTCGATGATTCTGATGATGGTATATATATATATATATATATATATATATATCCTGTTTCTTTTCGTATATAACACCTAGACTAACCTCATTATGTAAGGGTTGTATTTAAATACCAGATATAAAATGTTGTTGGAAGATTAGATTTCATACATTGACTTACTAGCAGACAACAACAAAAACTAGATCGCTTATAGCTATAGGTATGGTGAAGGTATGGTATGTACTACTTATATTGACATAAGTACTATATGATGTTAATCGTGGACAGAAGGTCTGGCACCATAAAGACAAGAGGATCGAACAATAAAGAATGAAAACAGGATGTAATTTGTATGAAAATACAAGAACAATGAAGTCTGGGTCATTTTGAGACAATTGGTGGACATTTTGTAAATTAAGTATTTACGTTATGATTGTTAGATTTTATTACCAAGTCCTGTAATTGTGTGTTGGACAAGTTTGATTGTCCCCGCCCGTGTTCTGTTCACTACAAAGGTGTACGAACGAAAGATGAAAGTTGATTACATTTGAATACTTACAATATAACCAAATAACATTAAAATTGTACATGCACAGTTCCTAAGAGTTTATAAGACGAATGTAAATTTAATAAGGTATTCATTGAATATTTTCATTTTGACGATTTTATATACTTAGACTATACAATCTAATATATCGTCAACCGTATTTACTCAAATGGGTAATCTTTAGCAGAATAGATTGGTGTTGAACATTTAAAAAGTTTTGAAATAATGTCTTGTTATGAATTGTTTATGAAACTCGGATATCTAAAGGAAGTTATACAATGATCAACTAGTGAGAAGTACTAAGATGAAGAGAATTGGTCCACTTGATAGCTATTGAGAACAGAATAGTTAAAAGCAAAGTTGGATGTTGGCTAGCAGTGGAATCCAGGACACGTAATATGTCAGCCGGATATATGTGCGTCCCAGAGTTGGTGTTCACTTCGGAACTCGAACCCGATACTGTCCGCTTTAGACGTTATCGCGTTACCCATATAGTTACTGAGCCCTGACAACCAGTAGCTTGTGCAATAGGGTTAAGTTTTAATTCAATTTGTATTGTTTGTTTGAATTTTTCCATACATGTTTAGGACTGCGATTGTGACTCAAGGCAATCCACACATGATGAACATATGCCAATAAGAGACTGATCAGTTTCAGTTCTAACACATCAATGGGGAGATTCAAACAAACAATGCAAAGAAGAATAGTTAAAAGTTATAATAATGGCTAATTATTAGTTGTGAAAATAAGTGTAGAAGAGTAGGAATAATAATTTAAAGAAACAAGAGATTAGAAAAGGGTGACAAGGAAGTTTCAGACCATAGAATAATGAGGAATAAAACATAATGTTTTGTGTACACGAAGGTTAAGCTTAAACAAGTCGATAGCAATAGCCTCTTCTATATGATTGATTTTGAAGAGTGATAAAAGTTGAAAAAATCATTAAATGTATGTAATGTGGTTTCAGTCATGTGATATATCCTAGTACAGGTTATTTTAAACAAATGATTGAATCAATGTGTGTGCTACTGATGTCGTTAGATATAAGTAGCATGTATCATGAATGGGAAGTGAAATGCCTAGCGGCAGAAGGTTAAGGAGATCGAATGAAAAAGAACGAGAACAGAGAATGATTGATATGGAAACGAAAGAACAATGAAGTCTGATACGATTGTTTAATTTCTTGTAAATGAAGTATTTACTGTATGATTCTCAGATTTTACTAAGATATTTTGTAATTTTGTAGTGTCTGTCTCTATTTTTTGGCGTATTGTGTTGTTTAATTTTCCTTTTCTCCTTTAACCTTGAGGATTCCAAGTAATACTTCCACTTCTTTGTATTGAGTTATAATATTTTAAATAAAACGTATAATTTGTTAATACACTACCCTATCTGTTGTGATTTTAAGTCCAGCTTGTTATCACGTGATTTATTCGCCAATTGAAATACGACTTATCCAATCTTACTGTTGTGTTAAACCAATGTCGTTCGACTGGTATAAGCAGCCTAGTGTCCTTGTTGACTCATTGTTCATCTAGCTCATTCAGTTGAATCCAGAACATCAATACCAGCTTTCATTATACGAATCATTGATTTCAAACATACTTGGCTTATATACCAACCAAACAGACCTCATCACACCATGAAATAGGAAATAACATTCATACACACAATAAAGCCAAAATGTGGCTGTGAATGTGGGGGACTGTAATCATCAATAAACTGAACATAACTTCTTAAGAACAGTAAATCGTACAATAATAATAATCTATATGTTAAAATGGAGCTTATAATAAGAGGAATATAGTTAGATATACATAATCTAGTTACTGAATAGTTATACAATAGGAATATATATATATATATATATATATATATATATATATATATATATATATATATATATATATATATATATAATATTAGTCTATTATTAGGTCTCAGGAGTTACTCGTCATTTAATCTTCGCTAGGATATAACACTATCAGAACCCTCCACCCCCGCTGTTTTTTTCCTTCGTTTTTCCCCCATCCCTCTCTATTTCTCAAATGATTTTCCCATAATTTTTTTTTTTCAGTATGAAAATATTAATCCTTCTTGTTTGGCTATTGATTTTCCTTCGAAAAAAATGTTACAATTTTTACAAAAATATTATCAATTAAAAAATCCAATTTTTTCATCAAATAATTTTGTTGTTTATTCAAGATTTTTCGATCAAATTTTTTATGATACATTAAACATTGAAAAACATTCTACTATTCCATGTGAATTATCATCTATTATTCAAATTTGGGATACAGAAGGTTTAATTCATAAAAGAAAGATGAATCCTATTGTCAATCATTCTTATCATAAACCTAATAATAATAATCACTATGGCAACACAATAGCCATGGATGAACAAGCAAAGTTAAATGATCAAACTCATATTCATAATAAAACATTAACTAATCAACAAGTGAATGAATTACATAGAACTATCAATGATCAAATACCTATACCTATGACAGGTATGAAGTTATGTAATAATAGTAATAATAATAATAATACATTAACAAGTGTTTATGATGTATCTAAAATAGATGATGGAAATGTTAAATTAAAACAACATCTTAATGAGTTAAAACCTATGGATCAGCATCATAATGGAGTGAAGACATTTGGACTATTACATAATGCATATGATAATGTTAATAGGTAAGTATTATTTAGGAATTAGATATGTTGAATAATATCGGTGATGTCATAACTTTTAGTTTTGTGCCCTTGGTTCTTTGTTTTTCACCCCATTGCCAATTGTTATAACTTGTGCCCATTTCTCCTATCAATGTATAATGTAATGATACCGCCAATTAGAGAACAGTGAATTATCGACCGAACCAATGACGCATAAAACCCGTGAAAGCAGTCTAGAGTCCTTATCGGTCCTGCTTCCTGCCTAGCCCTGCCTGTTAAGTCCAGGACATCAATCTCAGCCTCTGAGATATGAATCATTTACTCTAAACATACTCGGTTTATATACCAACCAGACAGACCACATCGTACCATAAAATAGGAACCAACATTTGTACAAGATTTAGCCAAATGTGGCTGTGAATGTGAGAGACTGTAACTAACGGACTGGGCATAACTCAAGAATAGTTCATAGGTCAAAATAAAGCTTATGTTAAGCGGAACACGAATATGAATAGTTTAGTTATTTCAAAATTATACGATGAAAATTTTCCTATAGTATTAGTACAGAAATAGATTCCGACAGTGACCATTCATTATTCTCATCGGGATATAACAGGTGAGACTATAATTTATGGACAACCTTTGAGCGACGCTAGTGTCCACCGAATAACTAGGACCAAATAAGGGTCATAAACCAGTAAGGGGAATTAAAATTATGATTTAAAGTTGATCGTAAGGGTTAGGTTTTAGATATATGGTTAGCACCGCGAACTGACGTTAGCTAAAATGTCAAGACGCTACTTGAACGAATGGGTGACTGAACTTCGGGTCAAAATCTAAGACCTGTGGTCGTAAATCTGATTGGTTCGTCCATGTATCATAGTCTCGGCATAATATCTTATACTGAAACAAAAGAAAAAAATGTATGTTATGGCAGCTCATGTGCAACTGAGTTTGTTTACATTCAATTTGGTTAAACCCTTTTATTAACTTATTTAAAGGACAGAGTCATTTATACAATAACAACCTATATCAGTGTACCTTTATTATCATTGTTGCACTTGTATGAATATGCATATTTGACTTTTTTTGCTTACTGCCTACTCATATTTTCATTCTACTAGCCTTATTATTAGTCGCTTATTAATTGATTCGATGATCCATTCATTTCACTATGTATATATATGTGCATTTTAATCCTGTTCATTGACTCGGCGACTCGCTCGCTAGCTTTTCCGCATTACTTTTTCATGCTTGCTTAACGTACCTGTAAGTTTGGTTATTTGTGCGTGGTGCAATAATAAACTTAATCAATACTTCGTATTCGCCATCTGATTAATACACTGTTGGGTCATTATTTAGGGATAGTTATCAGGATGAACTATATATGAAGTTTAAAGGCGCTATAGTGAATACCAACCACCACTTGTTCATCTAGTAATTATTGGAAAATCGACTTGTATTATTCGCTGTAGTTAAACGATGTGTGTAATGTCAGTTACTATATTAGGCCTATATGATTTGTTCTAGCTTCTGGACAGACTAATTTATTCATTCTTCTTGAGTTACATTTTGACCATGTTATTTATTTACTTACTTACCAACCTTCACTGTTTTTATATGAGCGTATAAGTGTGTGCACTTCTTATCTCATTCATCATTTGTCTGTAACTTATTTTTGTGTGACTATAACGGTCTGATATGTGACAAAATCTCAGCACGAATACAGAAGGTTCGACTAGCTTTTGCCAACTTGCGTCATTTATGGCGTAAGCGAGATATTCGTTTACCAACCAAAGGACGTGTTTACTGCGCAGCAGTTCGTTCCATCCTACTTTATGGCAGTGAAATATGACCGATAAGAGTAGAGGATATTCGTAGGTTACTAGTATCTGATCATAGGTGTCTTCGAAGCACTGCTAGTATATCCTGGGACCACCGAGTAAGTAATACAGTCGTTAGGGGATGGGTACTAGGTTAAGGATGTCAAATCATTTGATGAAGTAGTGAAACTTCATCATTTGAGATGACTGGGACATGTGTTACGTATGCCCAGTCATCGACTGCTCCGACTACCATTGTGGATACTCACTCTTGAGGAGTTCCCATTCTAGGAAGAAATGGTTGTTTCGTGCTTCCAGATTTTCAGTGATGATATAGTTTAGATGAACTCATGAATTCAACTTTGATGATCGTTTCAGTGAAAAATATAAGCTAGACTAACTTTCATAATACATGAATACAAATAATTGAGATTATGCAGTATTTATTCATTGAATTGAAGTAACTGTTAGGAGATCATAGATCAGAATGAATTAAGTTATTAATTATTTTAATGTGATATTCTTGTGAACTCCGATGAATATTTTATCTATAAAATGTACGTTTTTTACTGACTAGACTGTTTCCTTATTATCTTAACAGCTTGAGACTTGATTGAGAATATTAGAGGTATGTTTTTGAAGAGTAATTACAGGTATTTACTAGTTGTGGTCACCTTTTTTGATATTCCAAATTGCATGAAGAAGTTACAGGTTGTCGCAAAAACATTTATTTATTTATTTAAACACATAAATATTGGTACAAGGAGACGCCACATAATCATTCGATTTATGTGAGGGCTGAGATATCACCCGGGTGCCCAAACCGAACTAGGTGGTTTCCTTAGAGGGCGAAATCCCGAGTCTTTGAATTAAAGGTCTAATTCACAAGGCAGTGGAGCAACGTAAGGAAATACAGTTCCGTGGTACTCGTTGACCAACAATAGGTTCATTCGCCATTTGTTTCCTTATGATTCTGGAGCCCATGTACACCTTTGGTTTGGAATGAGGATTTCCCAACTTCCCTAGATGGATCCTCCATATCCACCAACCTAGCTAAAAAACCGGACATTCGCTTTTCGTGCTATCAATTTCGTAAACAACATGTGTGGTGCGAGAAGGCAGTTAGTAAGACTTCCTTGGCAGTGGTTGTAAGCACGTGCCCTACTCTTAGCTGTACTAGGGCATTTGGAGGCTTCTCAAAAACATGCGTCTTCATAATATTGCTTATGTACGTTGGGATTACCGAGTGAACAATAATGAGATCAGATGCAATGATACTAGGTAAAGATGAAAATCTTGTTGGTGAGGTGGCGAATCTTTATCGAATAATGTGGCTAGAATATGTTATATGTATGTCCAGCCACTGCCTACTTCAACACACGATGTTTACTAGTGTATGAGCAGATGCGAGCAATATTTCTGGGTCATCTGTGATTAAATACTTGTAGCGTACGAGTACCTCCTATTCTTAATGAACACGTTTCGCAGCCGTTAAGTAGAACAGAACGAACTACGGCGCAGTATGCTCGTCCCTTAACTGGTAGACGGATATCTCCATTTGGAGTTCACTGGTTATGAAACATATCATTTCTATCTTAACAACAAAATTTTCTGAAATGCTTTTATGTCTAAATATGTCCCAAGCAATAATAAAGGCAAAATTTCACACTGAAGTAGTATATCATGTGGAGAATCATTAATTTACCACTATATTAGTGAATGAAACAAGTATATTTTTTAATTGTGTGTGATCAAAATCACATGTAAATCATGTTTATCAGTTGACTATTAAAAATATTACTTAATAGTTGAATTCTTGAGTCAGTGTAAGATGGACAACTATTGAAAACCTGAAGGAATTGGACTGCTGTTTCGTCCTAGTATGAGACTCCTCAACGGTGCGTCCACGGTCCCACACGCGGGGTTCAAGCACAGGACCTTCGGTTTCGCGCACGAACTCTTAACCTCTAGACCATTGAATCGGCATTCATCGATCCATGAATGGCTGTGCAAATATTCATCCGTTGTATGAGGTAGATACCTGTCTCTACCCGATACGGATTGGACTCCACTGGTATGGTAGAACGCAAGCAGAAACTAAATGTAGTATATTAATTCAAGACTTGAAAATTTACTTCTTTTTTAAGGAAAGTTTAATGTAGTCAATACATAAAGTCTAATAATAAGAATGCAAAGTTTTGTATGTTCATAGTGTAAAGCAGTATGGATATACAATTAAGAATTGAAAATACATATCAGCTAGTATTTTAAATGGAATACTGATTTAAAAAACATTTCATTTCCGATTAATGATCATTAAGATTGGCTCTTCACCAGTAGATATACTTCAAAAAGATAAGTTATTGTATCGAATTCTAAGAAATTGGTAGTTTACAACCGTCATATTATGTATTCAAAAATGATGAGATGTAGTTATCAATGGAATCAAGAACGCATGTTTCATCCCACTTAGCATTCATCAGCTGGGTGCACTTGCCTTCCAGAGTTGACATTCATTCTGAAATTCAAACCTCATTGTTTTTCACTTCAAATAGTTAATACGTTTATCCACTTAACTACTGAGTCCCGATAGCTACTCACTTGTACAAGTATGTTATATTGTGTACTGAAAATTATTAGAAAAGCTAATCTTCTCTAAGATACGATGATATAATACTATCTGATAATAATAAAGTGATCTTATTTTTTAAAGCGTCCAGAGTAAGAAAAGAAGTGAATTTCATTCATCTTTTAGTCATACCACTCTTTTTTCATTTGTTACCGTTGTTGCTACCTTGACGTGAGGGTTGGTCTTGCCTATCGTGATGAACCAATCGAGCTATACTGGCTGGAACAATCGTTCCTCATGGTCACACCATGCCAGACAGGTCGGTTGAAGAACGATAAGACTAAAAGCAGAAAACCCATGGACCGAAGGCGAAGTCGTACTGCTGACTATACAAAGGTGTGACGGCAGTAAGGTGTTCCCTTCAGACAACCAGTGTAACAGCGATGCTACCTTCCCACAAGGAGGGGTGGGATTAGAATAGGTTGACCCTAAAGATGCACAAATCACCTTATCCTACGGATATTCATATCCGAAGGTAAGGTACCGGCAAGTACGGAGCTAACAAAAAAAGGTTGTGTGTGACCCTTTGGTACCGCGGTCACGCTCTCAAGTCATTAAGACCATCTCTAACCCAATTTTCTTCTCAAGTACTTCCAGAAGAATCTTTCCACGGTGTGGGAAACGGGGAAGTGATAGCTGCCCACATACCTCTAACAGTATTCAAGACCACTCTTGTAATTTAAACTAATGAACTATGTTGACAGTTTTTAGTTTAATGTTTATGTAAATGAGATAGGATATTTTTCTATGAATTTGCAGAGCATCCTAGTTTTTCAGTATTCAATATGTGTGCAGTATTAAACATTTCCGCACACTTTTCTACTCATTTATAGTGGGTTAATGTTGCACATAAAAGCCTATTTCCATTAAAGATTTCATTTCAAGCTTTAACTTTCAATTTATCTGGGTTTTTTTCATCCAGTAAGTTGGAATGCCCTACAGTAGTGTGGTTATAGAAGATATATAGAGATAATTTTAGATGATTGAAATAAAATGTCACATGAAAACTGTTTGTTGTATATACATTTTGGGGATGCTAGATCTTCAGAACTCACTTGATAAACGTATTATTTTTGTAATTTTATTTCAGCAATTTGAATTTCTTGTTTTCGCACTAAAAGCGCCAATTCTCACCTTCATATCGTATTTCCTACTTGTCAAGTCTTTAAATATCATTGGTTCGTTTTCTTTATTTTGTGACATTTCTCAAGAACATTTTCATGCTGCATTTATATACTCTTGAGTTGGGTATGTTGTTGTGTTTCGTCCTTCTGTCTGTTTGTGGAATACATTTTCTCTCTTCTGACCTGAAATTCTCCCTCTAGTTAACGAGACTGAGGTGCATCGGAATAGTTAGCTTATCAGATCATTGTGTTGCTGAGTCTTCATTCCGTTCTCAAATTTAGGTGATCTCATAATCTCTTCAAATATTTAATGAGGGTGGTTAACCTTATACAGGATTTAATGATTATAACCTTACTAATATTTATTGTCTTCATTTAATTAGGAATTTATTTTCCAAGTTTTCTGTAAAAAATGGTGGAAAGTGGTTAACAGTGGAATCCAGGACGCACGTTTCGTCCCATTTGGAACTTGTCAGCTGGATGTATCTGCATCTCAGAGTTGATGTTCACTCTGGGACTTGAACACAGTACCATTCGCTTCAAACGCCATCGCGTTATCCACATAGCTACTGAGTCCTGATAGCCGCTTGCTTGTGCAATGGGGTGAATTTAAATTCACTTGGTATTGTTTGGCTTGTATCTTCCCATTGAGGTTAAGGACAGCAACTGATCAGTCTGTTATTGGCATATGTGCATACTGTGGGAAGATACAGGTTAAACAATACCAAGTGAATTTATTTTCCAAGATAATAAACATGATCATTTTCCTCTTTGATTATAAATCTTACTTAACAAATATCTTTTTCTATATTGTTATCCTATTTGAGAGATTACTGAATGTTTTACTACGTATTACTGAATAGGTTTCCATTGATAATAATAGACTAACAGTAAAACTATCAGTGAGTAATACAGATTTCTAAGCTGAATTACATCATGTATTAGATTCTTGAGAATGCAACTTCGTGAGGTGGGGCCGTGAATGCCAACTGCTGAGGAGTTGCACAATAGGACGAAACGGCCATCCAGTGCTTCCAGGTGTTTCATGTTGGTCTAGCTTTAATTGACTCATGATTTCAACTATTAAAATTACTATAATATTCACAAAATCCCTCTCTAATTAAAATTTATATATATATATTTAATTTCAGATCTACAACACAAAAGAAATCGACTAGTTCCAGTATGACCACCAATTCAGAAATGTTTAATTATCGTTCATACGAATTAAAAAATCGTTCTAAACAAACTTACTCTTATATAAATGCTGTACGCAATCATAATTGTCATACAAGATTGTGGTAACTTGCTTGGTATGTTATTCATTCTTTGTTTTATCATGTGTAACTATTATATAATTTTTATGAAAGCATATGCTTATAATGAACTCCGCCTGGGGTCCCTCTGAAGGCTACTGCCAGTTCCAAGCCCAGATAAAGGAGAAGGGTCGGGCATGGGGTTAGCGTCCCCATCCCGTAGAAACCTAACTCGCTAAAAAAACGCCAACCAGAAAAAAGTATTCAAACCTTTTAAACTCTGCCCTGGGAGTCAGAAGGTTTTCAGTTAGAAGGACTATGACGCCTCATGATGGAAGCCGAGTTCCTTCGGAAGTCACGAGGCGGATGCCCCTTCTGACAACCAGAGCAACCACTTATTTAGGTACATGGAATGTTCGTACGATGTGGGACACCGGGAGAGCTTTCCAAATTGCTGCAGAAATGAGAAGATACAACCTAGAGGTGCTTGAGATCAGTGAAACACATTGGACGCAAGTTGGACAACAACGACTAACTACAGGAGAGCTCCTGTTATACTCCGGCCACGAAGAAGAAAATGCACCACATACACAAGGAGTTGCATTGATGCTGTCCAAACAAGCACAAAATACACTTATAGGATGGGAATCTCATGGACCAAGGATCATCAAAGCCTCCTTCAAAACAAAGAAAGAGAGCATTTCAATGAACATCATCCAATGCTTACCAAGGATTACAATGAAGACACTAAAGATCAATTCTACAATAGGCTGCAGTCAATCGTCCAGAAGTGCCCAACAAAGGACCTGACCATTCTGATGGGAGATTTCAATGCCAAAGTTGGAACGGACAACACTGGATATGAAGACATCATGGGACGACACAGACTGGGAGAAAGGAACGAAAATGGCGAGAGATTTGCAAATCTATATGTTTTCAATAAACTGGTCATAGGCGGCACCATATTCCCACATAAACGCATACACAAAACCACATAGACTTCACCGGATCACACCACACAAAGCCAAATCGACCATATTTGCATCAACAAAACGTTCAGGAGGACTATAGAGGACGTGAAACAAAGAGAGGAGCTGATATAGCATCAGATCATCACTTGCTGGTCGCCAAGATGAAATTGAAACTCAAGAAGCACTGGACAACGGGGCGAACAATATCACAAAAGTTCAATACGGCCTTTCTTCAGGATACTAACAAAGTCAACAAATTCAAGATAGTCCTCAGCAACAAGTTCCAGGCCTTTCATGATCTACTCAATGGAGAGGGAACTACTATGGAGAGCAACTGGAAGGGGTTCAAAGAGGCAATCACATCAACATGTCATGAGATCCTGGGTCACAAGAAGCACCATCACAAGGAATAGATCACTGTTGATACACTGGATAAGATTCAAGAAAGGAACAACAAGAAAACAGCAATCAATACCAGCCGAACAAGAGCAGAAAAAGTCAAGACACAAGCTGACTACACAGAAGTAAACAAACAAGTGAAGAGGAGCGTCAGAACCGACAAACGTAAATATGTGGAAGATTTAGCAACGACGGTGGAAAAGGCTGCAAGAGAAGGAAACATGAGACAACTGTATGACACGACAAAGAAACTCTCTGGAAATCGTGGCAAACCAGAACGACCAGTGAAAAGCAAGGAAGGCGAGGTAATCACCAACATTGAAAAGCAACGAAACAGGTGGATAGAACACTTCAAAGAACTCTTGAATCGACCAGCCCCACTGAACCCACCTAACATCGAAGCAGCACTCACGGACCTCCCAATCAATGTTGGCCCACCAACAATTGAAGAGATAAGCATGGCCATCAGACAAATCAAGAGTGGCAATAAGCAGGACCAGACAACATCCCAGCAGAGGCACTGAAAGCAGACGTAGTTGTAACTGCAAGGATACTCCACATTCTCTTCAATAAGATTTGGGATGAGGAAAAAGTACCAAAAGACTGGAAAGAAGGACTTCTGATCAAAATACCGAAGAAAGGCGATCTCAGCAACTGTGATAACTACAGGGGCATCACTCTTCTCTCAATACCGGGAAAAGTCTTCAACAGGGTATTGTTAAACAGGATGAAGGACTGCGTAGACGCCCAACTTCGTGACCAACAGGCAGGATTCCGTAAGGATAGATCGTCTACAGACCAAATCGCAACTCTACGGATCATTGTGGAACAATCAAGTGAATGGAATTCATCACTCTACATCAACTTCATTGACTACGAAAAAGCATTTGACAGCGTGGACAGGACAACACTATGGAAGCTTCCTCGACACTACGGCGTGCCTTAGAAAATAGTCAATCATACGGAATTCCTATGATTGATTACACTGCAAAATCGTGCATGGAGGAAAGTTGACAAAGTCGTTCGAAATGAAGACCGGTGTCAGGCAAGGTTGCTTACTCTCACCCTTTCTCTTTCTCCTGGTGATCGACTGGATCATGAAGACGTCAACATCTGAAGGGAAGCACAGGATGCAATGGATATCTAAGATGCAGTTGGACGATCTAGACTTCGCAGATGATCTGGCCCTTCTATCCCAAACGCAACAACAAATGCAGGAGAAGACGAACAGTATGGCAGCAGCCTCAGCAGCAATAGGTCTCAATATACACAAAGGGAAAAGCAAGATTCTCCGATACAACACAGCATGCACCAATCCAGTAACAATTGACGGAGAAGATTTAGAAGATGTAAAACCTTTACATATCTGAGCAGCATCATTGATGAACAGGGTGGATGTGATGCAGATGTGAAGGCACGGATCGGTACAGCAAGAGCAGCATATTTACAACTGAGGAACATCTGAAACTGAAAACAACTGTCCTCGAGCCAACACCAAGGTCAGGATTTTCAATACAAATGTCAAGACAGTTCTACTGTATGGGGCGGAAACCTGGAGAACTACGAAAGCCATCGTCCAGAAGATACAGGTATTTATTAACAGTTGTCTACGTAAAATACTTCGGATCCGTTGGTCGGACACTATTAGCAACAACCAACAGTGGGAAAGAACAAACCAGATGCCAGCGGAGGGAGAAATTAGGAAGAAGCGCTGGAAGTGGATAGGACACACATTGAAGAAAGCACCCAACTGCATCACAAGACAAGCCCTCACATGGAATCCTGAAGGCCAAAGGAAAAGAGGAAGAGCAAAGAACACATGAGGTTCGGAAATGGAAATAGACATTAGAAAAATGAACAAGAATTGGATGGAACTAGAAAAGAAGGCCCAGAACAAAGTGGGTTGGAGAATGCTGGTTGGCGGCCTATGCTCCATTGGGAGTAACAGGCGTAAGTAAGCAAGTAAGTAAGTAGTATGCTTATAATGAACTTTTATCATTAGATTAAGAGGATTGGTGGTAACCAATTCCATTGTATATAACCACAGATTATTCACAATTGTAAACATCTTTGAATGAATTGGAATTTGAAAGTTTAAGCTAAAATCATCTATTGTCACATTCTGATAAGAAACAGTTAGGAGTTAATAGAATTAACTGCTAGTTATACTTGACTGTGATCACTTAATGATGACCAGTTTTATGTTTCATAAAGAGTTTTTGTGAATGTTATAGTAATTTAACAGTTGAATTTATGAGTGAATTGAAGGGAACTACTGACGAGTCCTACACTAGGATGAAACGACCGTTCAGTGCTTCCATGGTTTTCATGGTGATCTAGTTTCATGATTGTCCAGTCCTCTAGTAGATATTCATCTTTAATCCTATTCAAATATTCATAATAAGATTTCATGAAATTTATCTTGTTTTATTTCACTGGTAACCATGATAATTTAACCAAAATGTTTGTTTATGAGATGAATCTCTATGGTATTTTACCTACTTTCAATTATTCATTGCCCTCAATCCATGATAAATAATGCGTAAACTTATGTTAGCTACTCGTAAGTAACCTGTAACTAAAGACGAAAAAAATTACTTTCGAGAAAGTGTTCTTGAAAATGTAATTGCCTAGGATATTTGTTTTGCTAGTGGAATGAATTTACACTATTACTGATCATTAAGTATTGAAATATGCTAGCGGTTGAATTTTAATCCGCTTGTTTCAAGAATGGTATAATCAAATCAGCTTTAGAATGCAAGTACGTCCAACTGACGAGTCATAAATAGGAAAATGTTTGAATCTTGAATTCGACTGCTAACAATTATCAATCTCTGCTTACACTGACTGACCTAAAGCAATATTGAGGCAATCTTCACAGGATAAAGAATTGCCAATAAGTGACTGATCAATCGCAATCTTAAATGTCAATGGAAAGATTTAAACAAACCATACATAGAGAACTATAATAATCAAAGTCTCCACAAAGCGCTCCGGTAACTATAACCCACGTTTCAAAATAAGCGTTGAAAATGTTGAGTGTCGATGCTCTAAGTGGTTGTAAATCAATCAAATCTCGTATCTTAAAGCATTGAGGTACTTTTTCTGGATATTTTCATCATATAGTCAGTCAGAAGAATTCATTCATCCAAAATATCTGTGTACCATCTTGCTCATTTCGGATATCTCTTCCTATTTGTTGGCATGCTAAAATCGATTTCAAACAAAAGAACAGTTGATGTACTTATCCTTATGATAAATAATCGGTAACCGTATTACTGAGCGTAACTCCGCCTGGAGTCCCTCTGGGGGCTACTGCCGGTCCCAAGCCCGGATAAAGGAGGAGGGTTGGGCATGGGGTTAGCGTCCCCATCCCGTAGAAAAATAACTCGCTAAAAAAACGCTAACCAGAAAAAATTATTCAAACCTTTTAAACTCTGCCCTGGGAGTCAGAAGATCTTCATTTAGAAGAATTATGACGCCTCATGATGAAAGCCGAATCCCTTCGGAAGTTATGAGGCCGATGCCCCTTCTGACAACCAGAGCGACCATTTATTTAGGTACATGGAATGTTCGTACAATGTGGGACACCGGGAGAGCCTTCCAGATTGCTGCAGAAATGAGAAGATACAACCTAGAGGTACTTGGGATCAGTGAAACACATTGGACACAAGTTGGA